TTCAGCTTGACAGCATCCCTTACTATCGGTGTCCACCACTGGGTTCGGGGATTGCCACCACGACAGGCACCGCAAACCTTACGGCCACAGCTACGGGCAGCAAATATAAATTCACATCTGTCCTTCTAATATACATAAACTGTACGAAACAGAGATACATTATAAATTATATGCAAAGTTATGCTACAAGACTTGGTGTTTTTTTCCACATTTAAGGCCAAAACAAACTGGACATGATTTAGAGTCCGATCAGATGGACAGTCAGCAATTACATCTCAGTGAAATGCATGGGTCTGGTCTCTTTAACTGTGCCTGAATAGCAACAACCAATGTAGACCCAGATCTATTTTGGAACCTACGAAGCAATTTAGTGGCAAAGTCATGCGATAGACAGAAAAAGAGACACAGTGACATTGTTAAACATATCCGCTTTGGGCAAAACACAAAATAAAAACCCTTAATTGTAAGGTAAAACAAAATAAACTGTGCATTTTACACATGATTGGAGCACAGAAGTACAGAAAACAGAAAAAGTGAAATAGTGAGCCTCTTTGAGCTTCGAAAAGACAAATGCACGACAACAAGAATGCTTATTAGGACAATGTGGGACGGAGGCTGTTTTTCCAGCTTTGTGTTTATTATGCAATTCACTTTTACAGTGTTGCTTTACTTCACACTCTCTTAAGAAATAGAAAAATAACCTTTAAAAGAGGTCTTTCTGAGAATCAGTTTTCTCTGACCTCACCCCATTTTTTTTTTTTTCACATTTTCTTTTCCTTTTTTTTATGTATTTTTCATTATATTTTGTATATATTAAAATCCTTTACCTGGGGTCCGTTTCATGAAGTAGGTTTACTGAAAACTCCAAGTTTTCTAAACCTGAAAAAAGGGAAACTCTGTGGTTTTGGTTTCACAAAGAGAGTTTAGTCAACCTCTGTTTCAGTCACATTGTGACATTCTCCCCAAAGGTAAACTGGTCGGTAGCAGGTTTTGTTCAGCAAACTCGGAGTCTGTCAGCATTTTCCCTACAGCCAATCTCACAGTTTTATTTTCTGATTTAAACCAATTTTTGTCTTTTGTGCATTAAAAATAATATATGCACTACCGTATATATATATATATATATATATATATATATATATATAT